TTGATGGCCATTCCCATATAAACAGAGTTTCTTCTTTAACCACCTCATGTTGATTTTTCATAGTATAGAGAGCATTAATAATTCTTCTGCCCATTTCAGCACCAAATCTAAGCGATTTCGATGCCACATCGCTCTTTTCGCTTCACGATCGCCTTCTCGACACCCGACCAAGCATCGCTCGTGCTCTCGGCGATCGCTTGATCGCGCGTCATGCTCGTTATCCTATTGTGATTTTCTGTACCATAGTTCTGATCTTCGCCATATGGGGATGTGCTAATGTTAGGTAAATAATTCAGGAATTTTTTCGTCAATAATTTTGAGCGACTTTCTGCTTTAGACATGTGATATTTCAGGGTTGACATGCGCGAAGAATATTTCCTGCCCTTAGGTGCCCCTTCTCGAGCTTTTCTTCAGGATTATCGCGAAATGTTCGGGAAAACGACGCAGTTCTTAGAGGTTCGTTAATAAGGTCAGCCTGCAGACCATCCTATTCTATCAAGTAGTAAAAATCAACCGTGGGAACCTTTGACAATAACTTTGAGTACTGTAATTTGAGCTTGTATGGTTTGATATCCCTATTATTCAAATCTTGATGATTTTTATAAAAACGAAATGGAACGAGAATGAATTAGATAGAGTGAGAGAAAAAGAAAAAGAGAGATCGTTCAGGAAGTGAAAAGCTGGTGCCTGATACAAATACTTTCTAACATGATTTATTTGTTTAATTACAGACAGTCGATAACTAATTTATTTGATTACAGATAGTCATTGACGATCCTGTGGAGTACGAAGAGCCAAACGTGCGCGATTCCATTATTGAGATATTGGATGTTGCAGTTGTACGTTTCAAAAGTAGCCTGAACAAATCTACGCTAAATCACACTATTGCTTTTTAGAGCTCTGGTTTTGCTTCCCGAACTGTCAGCTGGCTAGTAGAATTTGCCAAATTTGAGAAAAACACCATTTACGATATCAATGCTGTAAGTATCGCAGCCAATTTTTTAACCTATGATGCACAGAATCACACTGAGTCTGACAGCAGCTAGTAATCGATCGTCGTTTCAGGACACATTCGTTCCAGTAGTGAATCTAGTATTCCTGCAGACTGACCCATACAAGCGATTTGCGTCTGACATATCATTCGATCGTCATCAGACACAAATTGTTCGTTCTAGAATGTATCTCGAACTCACGCAAAAGGGCATCAATGAGAGGTAAGCAGATGACGTCGAAAAAATGTCAGAATCAAGCAGCAAATTCGTGGGCGGTAGATCACAGATGCGGCGCGTTTGCATTTCTACGCTGATGTAATTACTCCTACGGAAATTTCACTTTTTTTGCGTTAGTCACACATAGTGAATGTTACTTTTGCATGATTTGTGAAGTTGGTTGTAGGTTGTATTATAAAAGGGAGAGCTAAAATTCTGCGAAAAATTGTACAAAATACGTTGCCAATCTAGATTTCGATGTTCAATGCAATCACACCATATCTGTAAGCGGGTATTCATAATTATTTTTGATTAATTTAGAGCATCTCTGGCACAACTACTTCTTTCCAAATCTCGTGCCGTTCATCTACCAATGTCTATAAGAGCACCATTCACCATGTCGCTGAAGCATGATATCTCGGTAAGCAGTCAGACCTATTTTGAATTTTTTCTTCGGGCAAAAATTTTCCCCGTTTTACTTCTAAAATGAAGATCCACACATCAGAACGTATTTTACAGGTGATTTCTTCCGGAATCTTCGTGTTCGGTGTTTCTCTAGTCTGCTTACTTGTGTTTTCTCTATTCCTTCTCGGACAACCTGCTCTCACCTTTGTTCTTCTTTTTACGTCTGTCGCAGGTGAGCTAATTTTCTAAAAATCCTCAAGTTTCGCTTAGAGCAAAATTTTTAATTTTCAGTCTTGGCCGAAACTGTAGGTTATGTCACCCATTGGGGAGTACCAATGAATGCTATCACCATAACGATGGCGTTATCAGGTATAGATAACTCCATTCTAAGTACTTAATGGATACTGATCATTCAGTGAATTGAATCGTTTTTTCAAATTAATGATTTTTCCATTTTTAGCCAATATGCTTGCCTCTGTAATTGTGATGGCATTTTGCTACAGCTACTCGGTGTCTGGGAAGCAGCAGATGCGAGCTGGTGTTAGGATACAGTATACCTTCCAGGTAGGTACCGTATTCTTACAGCTCGGGGTGCATTTACGAGTGGGAAGATGGCTGATACAAACTTGTGTCAAATCGGCTTTACAGCGTCTGAAAATCATATGTCAGTTTTAGGACTCTGTATGCGTAGGCATTTGCTTAACGTAGTACCTGGAAAATCGATATATTGATTTTCCAAAACAGTTTCAACTCACAATACTTATCAGTCCATTTTAATTTATATTGCAGGCCACATTTCTTCCCGTTGTGTTCGCTTGTCTTGTTCCGGTAATTACCTACCTCCCACTATTTGCCGTTGATGCTCCTATCATCATTCATATCTGGAAAGTCCTCCTCGTCAATTCAGCTGCTACCCTCATACACTATCTTTTCTTCATACCAAAGTAGGTTTTGATGGCTATGATTGGTCGGGAGAATGACCAATCACAATTCTGCTGTTCGATCAAATTTGAATTTTAGCTTATGTTTGCTGTTTTCTATCCATATGCCTGCTTTTACCTCTGTAAATTGTACTGATTGCTGTTGTGATATGGAAGACGATAGCTCAATCTATTACATTCCAACAACTGCTCGAGCTGTTCATCCAGAAGGGTTAGTACAGTCTACTTACCGTAATCCATTGTAGCCAAAGCTCTCACTTTAGGATCTACCAACACACTTCCTATACCTATTCCGTGCCCAAGTCGATGGTTAACGGTGGGCCGCCCAACTATCTCGCCATTAGTAAGTTTTGTATTGTACAATCAATCGATATATTGATCCTTCGTTCCAGCAGGTCCACCTTTGGAATCGAATTATGCGGGTGATTATGTGAGAGCGAATGTTGAAAGGACAAGAACAAGACGAGCTAGGAGAATAAGCGAAGTGAGTCGAACATTACTTCCTAAACTACTGTAGGATTACGGTAGAACTTTAGGGGTCCGTGCCGCATTCTGAAGTAGCTACCCCTAG